AGAGAGAGAGAGAGAGAGAGAGAGAGGAATAGCCTCTGCCCTCTGCCTTTAGCCTCTGCCCCCTTACCTCTAGGCCCTACTTTAGGCCTTCCTAAGGCCGTTTTCTCATTGTTCGTTTGGCGGCTGAAAATTTTTCGCTCGTTCGAGAGAGCGAGAGAGAGAGAGAGAGAGAGAGAGAGAGAGAGAGAGAGAGAGAGAGAGAGAGAGAGAGAGAGAGAGAGAGAGAGAGAGAGAGGAATAGCCTCTGCCCTCTGCCTTTAGCCTCTGCCCCCTTACCTCTAGGCCCTACTTAAGGCCTTCCTAAGGCCGTTTTCTCATTGTTCGTTTGGCGGCTGAAAATTTTTCACTCGCGCCGGCCGCCTTCGGCGGCCGACGCTCGACGGCGCGGCCTGCGGCCGCGCGAGAGGGGTGGCAAGGGATCACACGCGCGACTCACTATAGGCATCGTCATACACGCAATGGCACGATCAACACGGGCCTAAGCAACAATGGCAACAATGGAGCAGGGGGAGCCCGCGTCTACATGCGGTGAGCTCCAAGGGCGTGAAGAACGCCCGTCAGGGAGCGCCACAGCTCCCGGACCACGATCGTGCTTGCGCCGATCGCCACGGCTCCAGATCCAACGCGCAAGTAGCGCCTCAGACTGCGGACAGCCTCGTCAAGCTGCCCCGCGGCAGCAGCGCCTCCCTCCGTGGGCGCAGCCAACACGGGTGCCAGCAGCACCGCGAGCTGGTCCGCCGCGTCCAAGCAAGAGTCACGCTGGCGGCCACGGAACGTCTCTGGAGGGATTACAGGGAGAGACGAGTGGGCAAGCACTTGAATCAGCAGCAGAGCGTGAAGACTGTCAGCGAGGCGGTGAAGCTGTCCGAGAGTCGCCTCGGGAACACGGGTCTGCGGAGGCTGGAGTGCCTCTGCCAGGAACTGGAGCGGCTCATCAGCAGTAGCTGGGAGATCAAACGGAGCCGCCAGTGCGCCGCCACCCGCGGGCACGAACTCCACTCCCGCAACAGGCGGAAGCGGCGGCAAATGGAGACGGGACCCGGGAGCAGATGCCAATACTGCGGGAGGAGGCGCAGACGGCGTTTGGACCTGAGGGGGAGACGCAGCAATAGGCTGCAGGTTCAGAGGAAGAGCAGCCGGCCGGGGAGCCTCGGGGGTTGGCAGAGCGCGCAGCGAACTGCTCTGGCTCTGCACCGCCCTCTCCTCACGAACAGCCCTCGACACTTCCCGCTGGAGATCCGCCATTGTCACAGGCGGACGATACCTCCCGCCACCACCACGCCTGTAGGGGCCCCTCCAGCCCCCATTGCCGCCAGGGTGAGCAGGCCATTGGGCCTGCTGCTGGTAGCGCCGGGGAGAGTTGCGCCGGCGCCGCGACGTCTCGCGCTCCTGTTGGGGCGCGGGAGAATGAGGGCGGGATTGGCGGCGGTCCGGCGACGGGGGACGAGACGGCTGCACTGCAAGGGCCGCCTGCAGTTGAGCGGGAGCAGCCGGTTCCGCGCCAGGAGGAGCAACCATCGGAGCCGGGTCGACAGTGGTGGCGGACGCCGCCCTTGGGGAAGAAGCAGACGCCGGCGCAGACACGCCGGGGACAGACGCGGCCGGTACAACGAACGCGCCAAGCGCAGGGGCAGGATGTGCAGCAGCCCCCCCAGCAGACACAGACGCCTCCGCCGCTTCCACGGGAGCAGGGGGCACAGGAGCCGCAGGCGGAGCGGGAAGAGGTTCAACATGAGCAGACGGGCCAGCCTCTGCCACGCCTTGCGGAGCCACGGGTGCGTGGGGAGGAGTCCTTTCAGAGACTGTTGTCCCGGCGTTCGGAGCATGGGGTAGAAGGGGTTTCGTCGCCGTGGTCCCCTTTTCGAGTCCCGACTGAGGCCTGGCGACGACAACCGACCAGGCGACAGCGCGCTCTGGCGACGGCTCATCAGCTCCAGCAATCACCACCATCTCGGACGCGAGGAGATCGCGGGACGAACCACGTAGCAGGAAGCGGAGTTGGCGGGGGCCCAGAGAACGGATACCAAGCGGCGGCACGTGTGGCTTTAAATAACTTACAATCAGATAATGAAGAGGACGAGCGAAGGGACCCCTCTTATAGGAGAGACGCCACGCCGGATAGCGAGGATGAAGGGGAGGAGGAAGGAGACGGGGTGAGGGAGAGCTCTGGGAGAAGAGAAGCCGGGGCCAGAACAGCACGAGCACAACCGCTCCAGGAGGCACGCACGCCGCACGATGCTGATCGGACGGTAGAGCCTCCAACATTTGCCTCACCAGCGGGACCGAGTCGCGCTCGACGAAATCGGGCCGCGAGTAGGGGGGCTGCATCACGACCGGCCGCTTCGGCCCCCCGCTATTTTTCGTCTGAGGAATTGGCGAAGCGAACAGACCTGTTCGCTGCGATTGGGGATTGGGATGTCGCGGCCTTGTGCGACAGTCGTCAGCCCTCGCTGTCGCGGCGCTTACCGCCAAATCTGTGCCAGCTGTTCTCGCTAGTGTTACTGACGCCGTTACTGCATCTCTCCCGAAACCCGGAGTCGGAAACAGGTTGGCGTCTGCTGCTGTTTCTCCCGCGCCTGACCCTTCGCCAAACCTCGCCGCAACGACCGGACTGGCCGAAAGTCAAGGCCCGGCTGCGAGCCTTCCAACGTGGCGAATGGGAGCAACTGTACCTGGACACGATTGCTGCAGTCAACGCGCCACCCCCGCCCCGGCACAGGCCAGACGTGACAGGAGTAATCAAACGGGCCGAGGGGCTGGCGAAACGTGGCAGCCTACGATGAGCCGTTCTTGCATTGGAGTCAACGCCTGTCTGCACGCCCAGCCCCGAAGTCCTGGAGGAACTGCGCCAGAAGCACCCACCAGCTGTTGACGAGGAGGTGATCTGGTCGACACCGGAGAAGTCAACGCTTTCAATCGCTCACGCGGATTTCGCAAAGCTGTTGGGCAGATGCGAAAATGGAGTTGGAGCTGGGCCGTCGGGGATGACATTTGAGCATTTGCGCGACTCGGCGATCACAAATGCGCTGGTCAGCACCCATCTGCACGCCCTGGTTAATACAATTTTGGGAGGAAATTTGCCAAACACGGTGGCGAATTTGTTAACCGCGTCGCGCCTCATCGCCTTGGCCAAACCGGGGGGTGGCGCTCGGCCAATCGCGATTGGCGAATGCTTGACGAGGCTGGCAGCCAAGGCAGCCCTGTTAGCAATGGGGGAGGCAGCTCGCGCCTTTTTCCTCCCTCTACAGTACGGCGTGGCAGTGCCAGGTGGCGCCGAGACTGTGATCCACGCGGCCAGGGCCTTCTTAGACGCCCGCCCCGACAGCCTCGTGCTGCAAGCTGACATCAGGAACGCATTCAACAGCATCTCGCGAAAAGCCATCGCCACCGCGTTACAGACCCCCGCCCTCTCGCCGCTCCTGCCGCTCGTCAAGTTCACATACGGTAACCCGTCGCAGCTGCTCCTAGATGCAAACTTCGAGTCCGAACCACTGCGAAGCGAACGCGGTGTCCGCCAGGGGGACCCACTCGGCCCGCTGCTATTCGCAGCAGGAATACATGCCACACTTTGCGATACGGCAGACACACACCCCGGGGTGCTCTGTTTGGCGTATGCGGATGACGTGACGTTCATCGGGGAACAAAGAGACACTGTAGCAGCATTTTCGTACTTCACCAACAAATTGTCACTCCTGGGGCTCGAGCACAACCCCCGAAAATGTGCTGCGTGGAGCTCCAGTACGGTACAAGCACCGCACCTACCCCCAGGAGTGCCATTTTCAAACGACGGCGTCCAGCTACTGGGCAGTTTTCTGGGACCGGACGACGGCGCGGCTTCTTTTCTGGCAGAGCAGTTAGCTGACATGGCGAAGCCACTGATGCTCATCGAACGAACGGATCCCCAGGTCGCATCACTGCTTATCACGCGATGTATATCGAGGCGTGTTGCGTACCTGACACGGACGACGCCCCTTAATCTTCTTCCCCGCGACAAATGGAGCCAGTGGGGCATGGACCTCCTCACCACGCTCCTTACCGCCTGCGACATCCGCATGCCAACTTGCCAATCGGAGCAGACGAGGGTTTGGGAGCAGGCGTCACTGCCTCCGTCATTAGGAGGGCTAGGCATTACGAACCCCTTGATTGAGGGGGTCTACGGTTTTGCCGCGAGCTTCACCCAGGCGGCGCTGTTTCTCAACGACCTCATGCTGGGCGACGGGAATGCACTGAAGCAGGCACGGGACCACATGCTCCTGCCGCGGGACACCAGCACGCCACTTCACGTTTGGGTGAAGGGGTGTGAGGAGGCGCTGCCGACAGACGCTCGTGAGATACTGGAAAAGGAGCGGTTGGAGCGATCGGACATACGTCTTCAACACGCCCTCGGGCTGCAGGTGCACGGCAGCAGATACGCCGTGCAGGTCCAGGCAACCAGGCGCATGCGGCTGAACCCACTCTCAGGCCACACTCAGCGCATGTTTTCGCTGACGGGATACGGCACCGGCGATTGGCTGACCGCGATACCCATTGAAGCGACTAGGCGGATTGGCCCCGTACACTTCGCCAACTCCGTCAAATTCCGCCTGGCTCTCCCCTTCTCGACTCCTAAGAATTGTGACTGCGCGGACAAAACGGCTATCACCGACCCCCGCCTGCCGAACCATCTCCTGCGCTGCAGCTTGGGCAAACACCGCATTAACAGCCACAACGAGCTGCGGGATGCATGCATTAGCATGGCGCAGCACGCAGGTTTCATTGTCCACAGCGAGTCGGCCGCCCATTGCCCCATCGAGGAGCAAACTGCCGACTTTACCATGACGGATCGAAGCAGTGGGGCGGTGTATGTGTGCGATGTCACTATCACGGATCCCATAAGCACGAGGGACCCAGAGGCGCAGAAAGGCAGGGGATGGGCGGCACGGGAACAAGCTGATAAGAAGATCCAGCATTACGCCAACCGGCCAGAGACGGTTGGCTTTTTCCCACTGGCAGTCGACACCTATGGCTGCCCATGCGCGGAAGTACCAACCTTCCTGAAGCTATTGGCAGACACGGCGGCTCGGCGGCACTTCAACGCCGACTCAACATCATACTATGCCGCAAAGTTCCTACATCAGTTTCGACAGAGATGGTCGGTGGCCCTTCAAAGGGCACAATCCGTGGGCCTCCTGATGAAGATGGGCGAGGCGGCTGCAGCTGAGAACCCGCCTGTGGGCGGCATTGGGCAGGAGTTGCACCTTGGAGATTGTTTTGCAGTGATAGAGCCCCTCCTAGATCTTTAGGGGGGGTATAGGGTAGGACTTGCCTTTGTGTATATGCTTCTATACCTTGCATGCTTGTACCTAGCTGCCATATCAATACAAGGACCATTAGAGTGAGAGAGAGAGAGAGACCATTGGTTACTAAGCCCTTAGCCATCCCAGCCTAATCACTTAGTGTAGTCTTAGTGTAGCCTGGTTACTAGCTGTTTGCAGCCTACTCCCCTGCTATTTAAGGGCAAGGAGCCCACTCCCATCCTCATTGTCCGGTGGTGAGTTCATTCTCACTGCAAATCCGGCGGCTCGCGCCGGCCGCCGGCCGCGCGTGAAGGGACAGCAAGTTACAATAACACTAAAGGGGAGAGATACAAGATGCAGCACTAGATAGGGCCCACAGAATAGGGGCAAGGTAAGTAGGAGAATCTAATATGGGGAACAAGAAGGCAAACACCAATGCCAAGAGGGAGTGGGGCGCTACACGCGGTTCAGCATGTAAAACCGCCGGCAGATCCAGCGCAAGAGAACTGCGAGCAAGGGCACGAGCTGGAGGGGAGACTCCTCGGCAGCCTTGGCGACCTGCCGGAAAGCCCGTGCGCCAGGGCCCTTGTTCTGATCGGGGAACTTGGACTCCAGGGGAAAATGAAGGAGGCGCCAAAGACCCTGCGCCGCCGCCTCGCGAACAACACCTTGTTGGGGCTCCGTCAGCTGAGGATCCCGGAGCACAAGATTTCGCGCCACGAAGCCGGCGTGCAGCTACTCGAGAATGGTCGCCACATGCGACATGCACTCCCCAACCGCCAACATGCGCCTTTCCCAGCGAAGAACGTCCTTTACGAAGTCGGACTGGATGTCCCACTCTCGGCCCCACAAGGTCGCGGGCTGAGGCGGAGTCTCCCACAGCTCACCATTCCACCAACACCCGTCGTCCTCGGGGTCAGGAGCGTCGGGAGGAAGCTCAGGAGATCGGGAGCGAGGAGGAAAACGAGCTTCGGGAGCGGGCCCAGATGGAACGAGAGGATGCTGCCCCTGCGGAGGCTCCACGGGGGGAAGAGATGCACGGGGACCTGGTGGAGAAGGAGGGGGGGGCACGAGGGGTGCCCCGGCCGACGACGGCAGGGGAGGATGCGCCAGAGGAGGAGGCGGAGGGGAGGAGCACGGCGGAGACGGGAGCGGGTCCAATGGCGCAAGGGGAACCGGCGACAGCCGATGAGGGGGCGCAGCAACGCCAGATGACAGCTGCTGCGATGTCTGGAGAGACACTGACTGCGACGGCGCAGTCGATGCACTCGGGCGCAAGAATGACGGCGGCGGTCGAAGGAGTGGGCCCACAATCTCCCGCTGGACAGCGGGAGACGGGCGAGGCGGACGGCGGCGGCGGAACGAACCGCCATGTGCGCGGAGGTGGGGGAGAGTCCGCCCACGGGGAGAGTGATATATCGGCTCACGACGCCGGGTGGGCGCCCCGGCCCCCTCGTGCTCGACCAGCACAGCGGCGGCTCGGAGCAGGGCTGGCGCCAGCCCGTCTTGGCCCTTCGAACGGTTGGGAGCGATAGGGGGACCGGTCGAGCGAGCCGACCGAGAGGAGGACCGTTGATTGCCCGTCATCACAACGCCACCTGCACACACAGAGAGCCGGGGGGGATGAAAACGATGCTGCAGATCAGACCGAGGAGAGGGCGGCCGCTCTGGCGGCGGTGTGGCAGAGGCAGATGAATGAAACCAGCAGGCAGAGGGCCTTACGCGAGCAGGCTGAAGACAGAACAAGAAGCCAACGACCGCGAAACGCGGCGGGAAGCACGGCCGCGAGGGGACGCGGGAGGGGCCGGGGCAGAGGGGGACGCGTGGGGGAGTTGGCGAGAGCCGTAGCACGGGAGAAGGCCAGATCCAGAAACTGGCGGGAATGGCACGGTAGGCCAGAAGACCAGAACAGAGAGCCAATGAATGACGATGCTGGGGAAGGGGAGTCTGACTATATGGAAGAAGAGGAGGCCGAATCCGAAGAAGTGTCTGTGGAGGCTGAGGATGGGGTACCTGCTGTGAAAGAGGGCAGACGCCGACGGGGCGGACGACGAGGAGAAGAGGGAAGCAACCCGGAGGAGAGGGGACAGGTGGGCGAATCACCAGCTCAGCAGCCTGGCGAATCTGCCAACAAGGAACGCCCACCACACAAAATCGCGGATGATGACGACACATGGCGGGCGGTCGAGGGTTGGGATCTGGACCCACTGCGCGCCAGTTCCCAACCATTCCTGATCAGGAAGCTTCCCCCGGAAATCCTGAAATCGTACAGTCACTGCCTTACAATCCCCCTCCTGCGACTGTTGAAATATCCGGGCTGCATGGGCGCGTGGAGAGTGCTGCTGTTCCTGCCGCGACTCACCCTGAGGGCAAGCACGGAGAAATAACCGGGAAACGGCTTCGAAGCGGTAGAGAAAAGACTCCGCTAATTCCGAGATGAAGACTGGGGAGGACTGTACCTCCAAGCCTGCACCATCCCCGACAATTCCCAGCCAAGTAGGCACGAGCCGGACCCAGAGGGCATCTGCGCGAGGGTAGAGGGGTTGGTCCGGAAAGCCAACTTGGTGAAAGCTGCGGTGGCCCTGCAAACCACATCGCTAGCAGAGACTTCGCGACAGACACTTGAAACAATCCGGGCGAAACACCCTCGGGCGGCTGTGGCGATACCAGAGGGGTTGGGGGGTTACGGCGAAACAGCACTCGCAATCGACACAGATTCGTTTCGCGACATTCTAGTGAAGTTCCTAACGGAATCGGGGCAGGCCCCAGTGGCACTTGTTTCGAACACCTCCGCGACCCAGCCCTAACAAATGGGGAAGTCTTCATTCTGCTGCACCAGGTAGTCAATCGCCTACTAATCACTTACCAGGACGCGCCACTACGAGAGCTGCTGCTACCATCGAGATTGATCGCCCTAGGAAAACCGGATGGGGGAGTAAGGCCAATCGCGATTGGGGAGGCACTTGTCAGGCTGACGGCAAAGGCGGCGCTAAGAGAACTCGCGGGGGAAACCAGCTCGCATTTCCTGCCAGTACAATACGGGGTAGCGGTTCCGGGGGGAGCAGACTGCATAATACACACGGCACAAACTCTGCTGGTGGAGGATCCAACGAGAACTATATTACAACTGGACATAGAGAACGTGTTTAACTCCGTCGAACGCGGGAGCTTCCTGTCGACACTACTATGGACTGGCAGGCTGAGCTCCCTGCTGCCTTTCGCGAGAACCCTGTATGGCGAGCCGTCAAGGCTTCTTCTGGACAAGGGTTTCACCATCAGCTCCATCTACAGCGCGCGCGGCGTCAGGCAAGGGGACCCGCTCGGACCTATGCTCTTCGCGGCGGTCATACAACCGGCCCTGTTGGCAGCGGCAGTCGCAGTCTCGGGCGTGACGGTGATGGCGTATGCAGACGACATCACCATCATTGGTCATCCAGCAGCTGCGACCAGAGCATTCACCATGATTAGCCAGGAGCTAGAGGGAGTAGGGCTGTGATGTAATCTGGCCAAATCATCGGTGTGGAGCCCGACGGGAAATACAACGGACTTACCAGAAGAACTGGCGGCAGCGGTGGACGGAGTGCAGGTCCTAGGGAGCCCGATAGGAACAAGAGCGTACTGCAGACACACGCTGTGGGGATCACTGGAACGGATAGCTCTGCTGCTAAACCTAGTGAGCAAACTACATCCACAACACGCGATGCTGCTACTCTCTCGATGCATATCGCGCAGAATCTCCTACATCCTGCGCACAACGCCGGCGGATGTCCTCCCCGTCCGGGAGTGGTGGGGGTGGAGCGAGAGGTTGCTATGGACAGCTCTGAGGGTGGCCAAACTCAATGTACCTTCGAAGGAGCTGGAGCAGAGTTTGGTATGGAGGCAGGCGACATTACCCATCGTCATGGGCGGCGTGGGGCTGATTGACCCACTGTCGGAAGCTCCTGCGGCATACCTGGCTTCACTAAGGGCGGCACAAACGCTGCTACAGCAAATGACGCCCTCACCGAACCATCAGCTGGCACAGGTGGAGGCGCTGGTGGCACCAGCGGGGGAGGGAGTGGCAGGAAGGGGGGGGGAGGCGCTGCGGGACCTGCGGAACAGACTTCCCGAGGAAGCAAGAGAGCTGCTGAGAGCGCCGGGAGACGACAGGAGAGGGAGGGGGCGCCTGCTGGAACAACTGTCACGCCACGTGAACCTGACCCGGGCGGCGGAGCTGATTGGCGACACGTGGATTGACAAGCCCGGGGAGGACAACGGACATGTGGTCCGGTTGTTCGCCTTGCAGGGGGCGGGGGCGAGGGACTGGCTCCATGCCATCCCCACACGGGCTGATCTGACGTTCTCGCCGGGTCAGTTTGCCCTGGCCCTGGGATTCCGCTTGGGATTGCAGCTGCCGATGACCAAAAACTGCCCATGTCAGGGGGAGTGGGGGGAGATCGAGGACCTGAGCTTGCCGAACCACCTGCTCCGGTGTGGGGAAGGGAAGGATAGGACGAACACACACGACACCTTAGTGTACGCGGCGCTTCACATGGCTAGGGAAGCCGACAACTACACCTTGCATGAAACCACGGTCTACTCGCAACCCGTCAACCCCAAGCGAGCGGACCTGGCCATCAAGGACAGGGAGTCGGCTGAGACGTACGTGACCGATGTCACGGTGACCGACCCCGTCCTGCAGCGCCAGGACACCAGGGCTGTGAAACCGCCGGGGTGGGCGGCAGAGGACGCAGCGAGAGGGAAAAGGGGGCTATATGAGGGGCGACCAGACTATGTGGGGGTGTTTGGGCTGGCGGTGGAAACATATGGAGCCCTGGCTCGAGACACACAGCGGTTCCTTCGGCTCTTGGGTAGGCAGGCGACTAAAAAGAAGTTTAGACAGGGTAGGCTGACCGCGGTAGCCTCCAAAATGACTGCCCACTACCGCCAGTGCTGGTCGGTAGCACTGCAGAGAAGCCAGGCGAACACCTTCCTGGCAAAGTCTAATCGGGCTGTGGAGAGTGCCTACCCCCAGGCAGCGGCTGACCCATGGGAGCCTTGCCTAGGGGACCAGTGCCATGTCATTGAGGATAACCTGGACTGGGGGCTCCCCTGGACGAGTGAGGGGTGGGGCGCAGGGGCGACTGGGCCGCGGGCTGGCATGCCACAGGGTAGTATTCAGGGTGCCTAGAGGGCTTGGTGTTGCTGGGTGGCTTGTTGGCAAATCTAGGTAGGCATATTGGCTTGGTGTCTTTCCCGTTGAATCTCTCATGCTTGGCCTGTATCCAACGTAATATCAGAAGGACTGCTTGAGAGAGAGAGAGAGAGAGAGAGAGAGAGAGAGAGAGAGAGAGAGAGAGAGAGAGAGAGAGAGAGAGAGAGAGAGAGAGAAGAGCAAACCGTCGATTTCACCATGCGGGATAGAAGCAATGGCGCGGTGTACGTGTGCGATGTAACCATCACCGACCCCATCAGCACTAGGGATCCAGAGGCGATGAAAGGCAGGGGATGGGCGGCATGGGAGCAGGCTGACAAGAAGCTCAAGCACTATGCCAACCTGTCAGACACAGTGCGCTATTTCCCCCTGGCGGTCGAGACATACGGCTGCCCGTGCACAGAGGTGCCGGTTTTCCTAAAACTACTGGCAAAAATAGCAGCTCGACAACACTTCAATGCCGACTCAAAGTCATTCTATGCTGCTAAGCTCCTGCATCAATTCCGAGACTGGTGGTTTGTTGCCCTGCAGAGGGCTCAATCTGTGGGTTACCTTATTAACTCATGCGAGGCAGCTGCTGCAGAGAACCCGCCCGTGGTGGGGATAGGGTCAGAATTCCGCTTGGGAGATTGCTTTGTGGTGATTGAGCCCCTCGTGGAGCTTTAGATTGGTGCTTCTGTGTGAGCTAGTAGATGTTCGTTAGTATGTTTGTCGTAGGAACTGTTTCCCACCTCTTGCATGTCTGTTCCCTTCCCCTATATCAATACGCATGCTATTAGAGAGGTGGAGAGAGAGACAAGAAGGGGGAGAGAAAGAGAGAGAGAGAGAGAGAGAGAGAGAGAGAGAGAGAGAGAGAGAGAGAGAGAGAGAGAGAGAGAGAGAGAGAGAGAGAGAGAGAGAGAGAGAGAGAGAGGCCCCGGCCGCCTACATCGCTTCTGTCACGGCGGCGCACATCCTTCTGCAGCACCTGAATCTTCCTCCGGACTGCCTGCTACACAGAGCAACGGCCCTGCTCTCCCACGATTGGAGCCCACCACCGCCGGACAGCAGCACACTGTCAAGCTTAGAGAAGGGGCTGCCAGCCCAGGCACAGGTGGCGCTGGGAGCCTACAGGACGGGGAACAAGGGCACAGGCAGCCTCCAGCTGTGCCTCTCCAAGATAATCAACCAGCGGCGGGCGGTCGAGCTCCTGGGGGACACGGTGGCGGACAGGCCTGGCACCAACAGAGGTCACGCGCTGAGACTGATAAGCCTGAGAGGGACTGGCGCGGGCGACTGGCTACATGCGGTACCGACGAGAGCTGACCTCTCTATTTCCCCTGGTCAGTTCTCGTTGGCCTTGGGCCTACGCCTGGGCATGGAGTTGCCAGTAGCTGACGTGTGCCCGTGCAAACATGACAACGCGGCGATCGGGGACAAGAGTTTGCCGAACCACCTGCTGCGCTGCCAGGACGGGGGTGATGCCGTCAGGACCCACAACGCCCTAGTCTATGCGGCGCTGCGGATTGCTAATGAGGCGGGCTACAAAACGTTTCATGAGACCTCAGCGTTCTCACCACCAGTCCTCAGGAAACGGGCAGACTTAGCAATACGGGACCAGGAGTCGGGGGCGACATGGGTAACGGATGTCACCGTGACAGACCCAGTTTTACAGAACAGAGACAGCAGGGCCCGCAGGCCGCCTGGGTGGGCCGCGGAGGAAGCCTCACAGCGGAAGCATCGGCTATACGAAGGGCGCCCCACCTATGCCGGATTCTTTGGACTGGCTGTCGAGACCTACGGGGCCATGGCGGCAGACACAGTCCAGTTCCTTTGCATGCTGGCTACCCACGCGGCGAAGACGAAGTTCAGACAGGGGCGCCTCACAACAACGGCAGCTCGGCTCACTGCACACTACCGCCAGAGGTGGTCGGTGATGCTGCAGCGCAGCCAAGCCATCTCACTCCTCTCTAAGTCCAACCGAGCAGCCGAAGCGGCATTCCCGCAGGCTGCAGGAGACCCCTGGGCCCCACGGCTAGGGGACCTCTGGCAGATG